GAGAGAGAGAGAGAGAGAGAGAGAGAGAGAGAGAGAGAGAGAGAGAGAGAGAGAGAGAGAGAGAGAGAGAGAGAGAGTTGATGAGCTCTAATAACAGAAGGTGCCAGCATCTGAGCACTGGGTTAATTCAGACTGGGAAATGGGGAGGAAAGTCCTTCAGTGAATGAAACATATCATGGGGAGGAAAGTCCTTTAGTGGTTTATTGCAATAAGATGTGTGGTGGTTTATTCCAATAAGATGTGTGCTCATATTCCACAATTTGAGTTCTATTTGATCAACAAAGCATGTATGCTGCAGTGCATCGAGTTCTTATCTCAGTTTTGAGTCTTTTGACACAAAAATATTTGTGAACCTGAAAGAAGGGAAAACAAAAATAGTAAAACACAAGCCATATGAGTGTCCTGGAGAAGAGGGGTCCTCGAAGGGTCCTCATTTACACCCCCCCCCCTTCCTCCAGCAAACCAATCCCCAACCCCTAACACCCAAAAAAAGAGCGTAATCCTTGGCATTATTGTGCATAACAGGATGTGAAAATCATGATTCTTTCGGGAAAGGAAAAGGAAAAACTGATCAGTGCTTTCTCATCACCTGATTTACAAGTACATTAAAAAAAAGTGCAAGGATTATGGGTGGGAGAGATAGACAGAAAACCAATTGCACAATCACAAAGATACCATTCCAATAAGAGCAATACAATGAACTCCGATGTCAATGTCGTCACACTCTGGACACACCAACATAGTATCCACTGTCCCTCCTACTGTGTGGCGCCTGGCGCCCAGCCTTCTCTACTCAGCATATCTAGCCTATCTACATTCTTGCAGCCAGATCACATCGCTGTTGAAGACCAATGTACATTGACGTCTTCGCCAATGCCAACCGCCAGCATACACCAGGTACGCGGTCTCTCTCCTCCCCTCAACACCTCGTCTCCCCTCTTCTTCATGCGCCTCCTACCCGAAGACCACCATCACCACCTCCAAGCACCCGCACGCTCGGCCCGGCTATGGCCGCCGTGCGCCCACTGCTACCCCAGTGCCCTCACCGCTTAGCGCCCCAGCCTGCCTGCATCGCGCAGCTTCGCAGGGCGATGCAGCTGCGTGGCCGCAATGCCTGCACAGGCCAGAATGCCCCAGCGCTGGGCCAGACACTTTCCTTTATGGAAATTGTGCCCGTGTCTGGCTGGCCTGGCCAGGCGTGTAAGGGGGGGGGCAGTAGCTTGCCTCTTGCCCCAAGTGTCTGCGCCCAGGCCCAGTTTCCGATACTGGCCTGGGCCCCGTGCAGTTAGGCACATTTGGGCAGCCACGCAGCTTCCAAGTGTTCGCAGCATTTTCATTGGCTCTTGGCTCATGTGTGATGGCAATGCTGCTCTCTCATTGGCCCGCGGCCAGTCCGTGATGTGTCGGCCTCACACAGCGTGTGCCCAGGGCACAACCACCTGAGCCCTGGGCTCAACTGTACAGCGCAGCCCTTGCTTCTGGAAAGAGCCTGGAGGCTCACGTTGCTCCGTAACCAACTGGCGTGCTGCAACTGTCTGAATCCCCACATATGGGAAAATGTCGAAAACAGGCCTCTTGTGGATATTCAGGCCCACCTTCAGTTAGGGCGGGCACAGGCTTGCTAGGGACCGTGGCTCAGAACACTTGTATGTCTGATAAGGGCCCCGCGAGGGCTCATTCCTTGCATTCCATCCCCCTTAGCTTCGAAAGTCCACTGAGATGCTTATACGCAGGTGTTTTCCCCTTCAGTCTCCATTCATACTCTGCCACGATCTGAGGTGCTGTCTTGACAAGCTCCTCTCTTGTGAACCAATGATCTTCTTTCGGATCTGTGTGATGCCTGAATCTGACCTTGTAATCCCTCATAGGTTCGGGCGGTCTACCCCTGCCAGCTGGCTTGGGAACAGGCAAGTATCTGTGTCGCAAGATGTTGTCGACGTCTACGTGGCCATCCATGGTTGGGGGCAGCATTAACCTTCTTGTTGGGAACAGATGGTGCAAGCTGGGAGCGTGAAATACAGGGTAAGTGCACAAATGACCAGGGATTCTGATGACGTACGAGGGACCATATAGATCACTAACCACAATGTCTAGGACTTCCCATGGACCAAAGTACTGCGGCATTAACTTCCTAGAGATGCCAAACTCCCGTCCCAGTTAACTAGCTTTTACCCATTCACGTTCCCTAACCCGCAATGTGGATTGTCGCCTATGCTTGTTCTCAGAGGCAATCATTGCCTGTTGAGACTTTCTAATATGCTCGATAGCCTGCTGCAACAGTTTCTCATACTGGACACCGAATTCAATGGTTCCAGGAGTTGCAGTCGGTCGGTTTTCAGGTAGGAGGAAGTCTAATGCAGATCTAGGCTTCCACCCCAAATGCAGCTGATTGGGACTGACGTCGGTGGTGCTGTGTACAACGTTATTGTACAGTCTGGTGATGAGAGGAAGTTTCTCATCCTAGTCATCCTGGCTGGGCGTGATGTAATGCTTCAACAAATGCTGCACCACACGGTTCATCTATTCTGCTTGGCCATTTGCTTCGGGATGATTCCCGGAAGTCATTTGGAGTTGACTGCCCATCTGTTCAACAGCCTTATTCCACATTTCACTTGTGAATTTGACATCTCTGTCACTGACCATGGTTTTGTGCAGTCCAAAGTCATGCACACAGTTATCTATGAATAACTTGATGACGTGCTCTGTTTTCACTGTTTCCGGCATCGGGATTAGTCTAGCGTACTTAGTGAACCTATCTACTATGACGAATATGTGCCTTGTGGGCACTCTTGCTGGTCACAAGGGTGTCCATGAAGTCCATGGAGACACTCGGTCCCGGACCAGCAGGAATGGGCAATGACTTCAATAACCCAAGTGGATCTTGAGTTCGCGGCTTGTCCCGCTGACAGACTTGACAAGTCTGTACGTACTTTTTTACATCGTCAAGCATATTAGGCCACCAAAAACGCTGCACAAAATTAGCACTAGTCTCCTTATAGCCAAAGTGACCGGTTGTGTCGTGACACTCTCCTAAAAACAAACTACGAAGAATCTCTCTAGAAGGAACACACAACCTTTTAAAACCTGCCTTTTCAAGAAAGAGAACCTTTCATCAACACAAAATCATCAGATGTGGCCTTGTCTTGGGCCTCAAGTTTGCTTATGACGTCCATCATGACGGGGTTTTCCTCGTAGGCTTCCACCAAAAATCGAGTTACATCATCGGATAAGCCAAACTTAGTAATTAGCGCACCTAGGTAGTCTGCCTACATGACATCGCATCAGCAACCTTGTTGTACTCTCCCTTTACGTAATCTAGCTTGAAGTCATATTGGTCTATGACTTCAATCTAGAGTTTGAGTGCGTCAAAGAGGACATGTTGTGTCTTGATCCACTTGAGTGTTTGATGGTCAGTTCTCCAGTAGAAGAACCTACCAAGAAGATAATGCTTCCAGTGAACAAGTGCTTTGTAGAGGGCATACTGTTCCCTTTCGTAGGCGGACTTTGCCAATTTTTTTGATGGCATCTTCTTGCTCATGTACTCAATCGACCTCAACTTTTCCCTTCTTGCCAAGCCAACACTGCGCCAATGCCATATTGGCTTGCGTCAGTGGTCACACCGAATGACCTCTCCGGATCGGGGACCATGAGAATCTCATGATGTGTAAGGGCGTACTTCAACCTTTTGAAAGCAGTCTCACACAATTTTGTCCATTCCCATGGTGTGTCAACGCGTGTTAGAGCAGTCAAAGGAGAGGCCACCGTATTATAATTCTTTACGAAATTGCGGTGGTAGCCACACATCCCTGAGAATGATCCGACCTCAGTCACATACTAGGGTCGTAGCCAGTCACGAATGTTAGCCGCCTTTGCATCTTCGGGCCTAATCCCTTCCGCGGATACCTCATGACCCAAGTACAAGATTCTAGTGCGATCGAACTCGCATTTCTCTAAATTTATCTTATACTTGTGTTGTCGTAGGAGTGAAAGTGTGGTTTCTACATGCTGGGCATGCTCCTCGACAGTCCTACATAT